ACCAATAACAAGGGCCCCCGGTTACAACCTCCGGCGTTTTGGTATCCGCGGTCGATCAGGGGATACTTCTCGTCCTTGTCCTCCGGAAGGCGATAACGACGGAAGCCCAACAAGTATAGCTCCTCAGGCGACGCCGCCGCCTTAATAGCAATCACTTTATCTGAACCCTTCGGCTTCTCAATGAGCCTCCTCCCGGCCTTATCGAGGGCTGCACTTCCTACCTTCGGGTGCCTCTTGAAATGATTGTTAAGAGCCCCCGGGAATGGATTCTCAGCCACCCGGATGTAGCAGAATTTCTCTTTCCATTCCTTATGAGACGAGGGGGTCTCGGAGAAGAGCTTCCAGGCCGGCACCTGCTGCAAGTTGGCATACCCCCCGGCGTGAGAGTGTCCTCCCCGGCACAGGTTGAAGGAAAGAAAGAACTGGTCCAGTGAAACGGCTATCCCCCGGCTTCGGCAGAGTGCCAGGAACCCCGCCAGGTAGTAATGACTATTGGGTGTGAGCTGGCAGGGGGCCAGTTTCACGTGCTTCAAATACGCTACTACAAACGGGTGGAGCGGGAATCTGAGCCCTAACTCCACCGAGAGCATGTGCACCGAAAAACATCCCTCGGGAGGATGGGATAACAGGTCATTAGGCCCCGGCTCCACTACTTGTGCCGACGGCCCCACAAGGACTTGGAGGGCTAGACATTCGGCCCCCGACGCTGTGGTCTTCACCTCAAGGGCCGTTGTGTCCAAATACGAATGCCCCTCAGGGATCCCGACTGGCTGCCCAGCGTCCACGGCCGCTTGCTTCTTCTTTGGAGCGGCCCTCAGCTTCTTCTTCTTCTTGGCGGGGGCAACACTCAGAGGCTCCGGATCTAAGGGCCGGGAACTACTTGCCTCACCGGCTCCGCGTGGGGGGGGGCACAGCTACAGTGACCCTTTGCCTCTCCCTCTCTTCAGCCTCCTGAGCAACGTGGACGGCGAGGGCCATCTCTTCATCCTCAATCACCTGCTCGAAGTCCTCGGCCTCCATCTCCGTCCGGAGGTTACTCTGAATCTCCTCGGCTACGGCGAAGTCGTTGGCCAGCGACGCCCGATCACTGGAAGAGGCCACGTCAGATATGCTCTCTGATTGCGCCGAAGGTTCCCTTGATATATTTTGAGAATCGCTTGCGGAAGACATAGTTGGAAGTAGAGGAAGGGTCCTAAACCGAGGGCTACTAATAAACACTTAATCTACGATTACAAAGCAAAATATACTAAGGCCACGAAGAACAAAAGAAGAACTGACCTCAGAAAGATTAGTGTGATCGAGGGCGGGAGTTTATCTCTCTAGAAAATTTGGCAGAGCTTCGCTATAGCTTAAGGAACGCACAAAACAAATGGCTCTGGCCTTGGGTATTTATAGGCTTTTGGGCCTCGATGTATGGGCCTCAGTTTGAAAAGCCATCATTACATGCCGCCGATTTGACCAATAGGTGCCATCCGCCCACTCTCAGCCACCAAAAACTTGACACGTGGAACCCCTCTCCAACGGCTCTATTCCAACGGCTCTATTTTAAAAACTTGAGGCGAGCTCACCTTTGCAGCCTCCGGCTAACACTCCCACAGCCTTCAGCCAATGCATTCCAACATAGCGCCTTCAAGCCTGCGGCAGCATAAGCACCTAGCTTATCAATGATATCACCCCTCGGGTTTGCATCAACACATCATAACTCCTTCAGCCCGAACTAACTTTCGACCTAAAGGAGTGGGGGACTGGGATACACCCCTCGGGGATCATATACAACAAAAAATTCCTTAGAAACAAACAATTTACAATTGACGCGTACAGCCTCCGGACAAACATCAAAGTGGAACCCTTCGGCAGAGGCAGGATATCATAAGTTTTCCACAAGTCACTTACGGAAATAAAGCAGCCCTCATCACAACACACGCAGGCGATACACCTGTGCCTTCCCCAGAAAACCCTCGACATGTGAGGGACTGAGGAAAGCCTTCTGCAGTCATACAGGTGTTATACTGCCCTCAGAAAGCCCTCGACATGTGAGGGACTGAGGGGAGCCCCCAGCGAACATGCGAAGGTTATGAATACCTTCCCTCAGAAAACCCTCGACATGTGAGGGACTGAGGGAAGCCTTCGGCAATCAACAGAAGACAAGTTCTCCAGCAAGAGCACCCAGCGAAATGAAGAAGCCTCCAGGAGAAGCAACACATCTACTCCTTTTCCCTCAAGTACCTTTCGGCAAAAGGAGTGAGGGACTCCTGATGGAGTATATGGCCCAGGAACCCCCGGCCCATAGACTCCTACTTCTCCTACACAAGTCCATTGAGCTCAGGAAACAACTCAGGCCCAAATACAACGGCCCAAGCCTCAAAGTGGCCCAGAATACACACTGGGGGTGCCTTCGGCCTCCTTGGCCGAAGGCCCCAAAACTCACAGGATAAGCCTTCTTTGGCACAAGAAGCTGCCGGGAGAAAACGGGTGAAAACATTAGCCTGCGGCACTATGGAGCCCTCGGCACCAGGGGAAGCCCTCGGCTGAACCAAGCCTTCGGCTACACATCGAGCCTTCGGCCATACATGAAGCCCTCGGCTACACAAGGAGCCCTCGGCTGCACAAGGAGCTCTCGGCTACACAAGTAGCCTTCAGCTGAACTAGCTCAATCATCGAAGATTCCTTTTAGAGACAGCCAACCACCGCATTTAATGCCACGTCACATCCGCCAACCGCAATCAATGCGGTGGACGTACCACTGCCGGTGCCAACCGGCTGATGTGACCCCTCGGCCGTTGGATTACTGACACGTGTCCCCTCATCGCATTTATTGCTGCTATAAATAGCAGCCCATTCCTCCTTGTAAATCAGAATCTACATCTCAACTCCACATCTCGAGTTCATTTAATAAAATCGACTCTCTCTCCTCCTATTTGCTCTGACTTCTCTCTAAGTTATTCCCGTAATAACCCCTCGGATAAGATACCCCCGGGTAGACTATCCATCAGGCTTACAACCATATAGAGAAACTATGTTGAACATTAAGAACATCACACGCACCATATAATAATGTATACGGAGTATATCTTAATATCTATCCTGAGTACTTTTACTGGAACTTGAAAGCATACAATAAATTTAACATACTTCTACTTCTACACCATTAAAATTAAATGCAAAGACAAATTATAATACAATGATTCTGTTAAGACACGGGGTTCCATCCTAAAAGGTCAACCTGATAGGAGGAGTAACCCTTGTGTTAATATAGCATTTTGTTCATCCAAACGTTTCCGGTGTGGGACATTTAACACCCCTCCTCACGACCAGACACTTCGTCTGGATCGTGCAATCATTCATTTTTTTTCATCGATCCATTTTTTTTCATCCGGCCATTTTTATAATCGTGTCATCATTTTTCATAAGGGGCCCCACACTATGGATCGATTTGGCTCTGATACCATGTTAAGACACGGGGTTCCATCCTAAAAGGTCAACCTGATAGGAGGAGTAACCCGTGTGTTAATATAGCATTTTGTTCATCCAAACGTTTCCGGTGTGGGACATTTAACAGATTCAGAACTTATAGTAAAAAATTACTTTATGTCACTGTTGATGTATATTTTAAACATGATATTATTAAAAATTATTTCTAAAATGCATACCTTGTATTATTCTTGAACAATGAAAGATAATCTCTATAGAGTGGTATTTAGAAGAAGAGTCTGTATACCGTATGACATACACGTACAGTTTGTGGCATTTTGATAATTTAAGGGAAATTCGCGACTTCCGTTAGATGAGCATGAAAGCACTTTTAATGAGCAGCAGATCTGTTCTACTAAGCATTAAGAGTCTAATAATGAACATCGTGATATCAGCTTCGTACTTTATAATTCATTTTATTTTTCTTATTTTTTAAAACATCTGCAGTGAACTCGTATGAATCTACTATGTGAATTTAATGTAATACGGAGTATTGTATTTTTTAAATATGCATGAATATGATATTTTAAAATGAGTATTAGAGCAACACAAAAAATGAGCAGACATAACTTACGAAATGAGCATCTAACAATTCAACAAGCTCGTTTTAAATCTCTACTATAATCAACTTTTCATTTGTGTATGCCCATATCAGTAAAACTACGTGTATACTCAGTATATCTGAGCCCGTGTAAGAAAAAGAAGTACAAGAGAAAAGAGCCAAATCTAGGATTGATATCCCTTTCATCGCAGTCAGTCGTGAAATCCACTTATCCTCCGTTGAGAGCTCCATAATTGCAGATCAGGCGATCAAAGTGATATCAGTGGCGGGGAAGTGACAAACTAGCCAGACGAGATGAAGGAAAACTGGAGAAGAGATTCGAGTGTGCAAGTGAAGCTCAGAGGAATAACGATCATATGTAGAAAACACAAAGTCAGGATGTATCGTGTACACGGCGCATCCGGACATACAATATATTTTACCTATTTAAAATTATTTCGGGGTGATTTTAGTTTGCACTCCATTGTATGGTCCAAATTGGACTTTGCACTCCGTTTTTAAATTCTTTGTTTTTGCACCCCCAACCCCGTATGAAAACTGAAAAGACAAAAATGTTTCTCAATCAGGAATATGTTGAAGGCCACCAAAATTGTTAATAGAGGGTATTTTTGTCTTTTCATATGAGATCGGAGTGTAAAAACAAAGATTTTAAAAAACGGGATGCAAAATCTAGTTTGTACAATAAAACTGGGTACAAAAGATTTTAAGTAGAATTAATTCCATTTTTGGTCCCACGAGTTTTGTGTCAATTCCACATTTAGTCCACTTTGATACTTAGAATAACTTTGTTATAGGTACCCCCATTTTGTACCCAATTTTGTACCTCACTCTATTTGTGTGGCTCACAAAAGCCCAACACATTAAATGAATTGCTCCATTTTAATGAAGTGCATTTGTGAGCCACAAATATAGGGGTGAGTACAAAATGGGGTACAAAATGGTGGTAGCAATAGCATTTTTTAAGTTACAAACCCATCCGAATTCGATTCGAGTGAATGAATGTGGTGGCAAGTGAGCGCCATTCTGGAAACCCTTATTTAACCCACCGCAATTGATTTTGTCCTTCGCTTAGAGGGTTTTACCGGAAAACTCGAAAGTGCTTAACTGCTCGTTTTGAAACAAGAAGCGTAGAATGCCGAAAAGGTTCGGAAAGCGAAAGGAAAACGACGGCTCTGCGTCTGAAGGCGATGACCATCCTAAGAAGGTTACAAAGACCAACGGTTCTGATGAATCCGACGACACCGTGGTGTGCGAGGTAAGCCGTATACCCGAAATGTATGTATTACCATGTTCTTACACGTATTCATTGTTTTATGCTTGAGATTTTGTACAGATTTCGAAGAACCGCAGGGTTTCTGTGAGGAACTGGCAGGGGAAGGCTGTAGTTGACATCCGCGAGTTCTATTTGAAAGACGGAAAGCAGCTGCCAGGAAAAAAAGGTTCAATATTTCTTTCGTTAGAATTTTTTTCTCTATTCCGATCGTATGAGTTTAACTTTGCTGTATGTGTCCTTTTTATGAAAATTTATTTGTTGGAACATTAAACATGTGCAAATAGGGCGCGAATTTCAGTGCTCAGCGCTAGTTACTAGGCTGAGTATCCCTCTCTCAGCACAAGAGTATGCCACCTAGTTAGAACGATTCACAAGACTGAGTTAGAACGATTCACAATTCTGGGATACTCAGTAAGTACTTTACAGTTTATATCACTCGGTGGTCAGTAATTTGGTAGAATGAAATTTTAAAGATTTCAGAAATGAAATTGAAGTACTTAAAATTTGACAAATTAGGATGCATTAAGATGAGAACTCTCCATAGATTCCGATATCAGTGATATCAGTGGCTTATGACTATTATCTTAGGAAACCTTGAAGGCAAGTACTTTTTCTTCTAAGTCATTAGTCATTACATTCCTTCTTACCTTTTCAGTTCTTCTTCATCCTACTATAGCATGTTGATTAACCTATGACATCAATATAAGCTCTATGGCAAAAGTGCAATATAAACAATAATACCTAGTATGATCTTGGTGAATTTCACACTTTTTATGGCATCTTTCTTGTTTTTCTCTATATATAGATCAGGCTATTTTGGTCTTTGAAAGGACAGCATAAGATGAGCTCAAACACAATGCCCCTTATTCGTACTTGGTGGAATCATTTCAACAATACAAACAATAAAAAACACATATATTCTTGAAATTGATAGGTTGAAATGTTGAATTTTATTTGGGCTTTAAACTACTGGATATCTTACCAACTTCTAATAATATATACTGGCTGATATTTTTCATCTTCAAATCATATATACTCACTGTATATCTTTCCTACTTCTAATAATATACACTTGACATATATGTTGTATGCTCAAGAAACCTGTGAAAGTGTATTATTCTTTTATTTTAGTTGCATGAGTTAAGTCCTTTTGGCTTATAGAACTAACGCATGAGGCGCTAATGGATGTGTGCACCTCACGGGACTAAGGCACTCATATTCACTGAAAAGTGGTTATCCTACTATTTGTACAGATGATATATTGTGCTCAAATACAATCTTACCCTAAACCAAAATTTCATACTAAACAGTCAAACACTGACAAAATAAAGAAGTCATGAATCATAACAAGAAAGAAGGAGAGCCTTGGTGCATCGGTTAAGGTGTTGCTTTGTGACCAAGAGGTCATCATGAATTCAAGTCTCAGGAGTGGTCTCTTGCCAAAATTTGAAGGAGAAGATTGGCTTTTTATACACCTTTGTGGTGGGACCCTTCCCTGGACCCTCGCCTCGCGAGGATGCCTCCTTGCTCTGGGCTGCCCTTTTTTTAAACTCATAACAAGGAAAAAGTAGACCGGAAGTGTATAACTACTACTGCCCAAGTCAATAAGCAATGGGCCTTACTATGCGGTTGAATGGAGAAGCAGCTCTTAAACTACATAAAAATGGCAAAACTGCATAAAAGTGGTAAAATTATCAAGCATAAATGAAATGCATAATTCATGCATAAAACTGTAGCAGCTTTCTGTCATATTCTATGATGCAGTAAAAATGGAGATTCGATAGAGCAGTAGCATAAAGAATGGAGAGACAAATTCAATAAATTAAAAGAGATGGTAGAACTTAGAATGACGAAAAAAGAAGAATAACTTACTGCGAAGAGGGACCTTGGGGGGGGTCATGAGCTGGCATAATAGGAGGTGGCAAGAGCTTGGTGCTATCATGCCCCTTAGCGCCTACCGCCCTAAACTTCTAGTGCAAGCTTTTTAGAACCAAGGCATGGGGTGTCCATGCCTCTTCCCTGTTCCTTATTGTATTAAAAAAAAAGTGAAATGTTTCTTTTGCCATGAAAAACCCTCTTATCATTTCTATGTTAGGTGATTCTGTTTATGGGAATTTAGTTACTTGGCTTCATTGCTATTTAACTCCAATATGTGAAATGTGAATTATGCACTTACTAATCTAGAATCCCTTTAATTTTTCTTTACCAGGCATTTCATTAACCAAGGATCAGGTGTGCCCAGTTGCCTTTTCTATTGATTCTAATATTCTCTTTTTAATATTTATGAGCCACGTTAATATTTAACTTTGCTCAGTACCCCATTTGTTGCAGTGGAATGTACTTCGTGAACATGTGGAAGAAATTGACAAGGCGATGACAAAAGGATGACAAAACAATATCAGTAGCAAGTTGTTCATTATTTATTGCTGATGAAAAAAAGAAGGAAATCAATCTTATTGCAGGAATGGAAAAAAATTAGGCATTTCATATGGGTGGAATGATGTAAGTTGTTGCATTTTGACTACAGTATGTGGGTGGGAGCCCCTTAAACCCAGTAGTATCTCTTTTTGTTCAGCAATGTAAGTCATTCTAGTATCCTGCTGTCGTCATGTCCTTGTTTTTGTGGTTTGATATGGTATCTGCAAGCCTGCAATCCGAATGGTTGAAATTTACTTTTGCGGTTTGGCCAAAATGATCTGTGTAGCATTTCGTAAACTGTGTTTTTTGGGCAATTGTGGGTTGGTTAGCACTTACCAAGTTACTAGCTAACAGGCCTAACAATACTCGAGAAATGTATTTATGTAGAATACACAATTCTACAAATTCATTAAAATCAGTACTCCGTGTAAAAATATAACAATACTAGCACTTCGGAAGCAACAACCTTAATATAACCAATATCTCTGACCTTATTAGCTTTTTAATAAAATAATAACCTGTCATTTTACAAAATAATAACCTCTCATCCCATTTTACATGTTTTACTCTGGGTTGTTTTAAAATAAATGTCATGATCTTATTTGGAAACAAATATGTGCAACAAATATGTGCTCCACATGATTTCATTATTTTTTTATATATTCAAATCCGAATCACAATTTTTTTCCTTTTAAAAAATGACTTTATTAGTAATTGTTCAAATTAAAACAAAACACATAAAATGGGACAAAGGTATTATTTAATTAGTGCTCTTACAATCCTTTAAAATTTTGTCAAATTTAATCAACATGGAGAAAAATAGAGTAAAAAATCTGTGATTGCGGAATGTACAATTAAAAGAGCAAGTGGCAAATTTTTTGTACAGTTAAAAAAGAAATATGACAAATTAATAACTGACATAGTGATTAGTATTTAAATAATACACTCAATAGGTAAAATAAATAATTTAGACAGACTAGTATTCATTTAATTTATTATTATTAGATATGTAGTACTAACTTATTATTGACCGACTTAATTTTCTCGATTGAGCTGATGTGCACCACCAAAACCATCCCATTAGCCACGTGCAACTAGCCACCACTAGCCCGTTAGGGTTGGTGGACGGCCATCCCATTAGCCACGTGCAACTAGCCACCACTAACCCGTTAGGGTTGGTGGATGACGTTGGACTGGGGGTTAGGGAAGAAGCCCCCCCCCCCCCAACCCCAACAAATGAGGGTGGCGCTCTTAGGTGAGTAGGAGGCTCTGTTCTTCCTTACTTTAGCCAACGTCATAATCGCTACTCGCTAGCGGCATTGAACTTGTGCAGTGAGTGCATGCACTGATGGAATGTATTCTGCGATGAATCGAAGTCAATAGATCACCATGTGCTTCTTTAATTTTCTCTTTCTTTTCTTTGTTGTTCAATTACATCGAGTAGTAACATCAACATGAAGGGCGACAAAGTGACATAAGTGAAGAGTAATAATATAGGTAAGAAATAAAGTTGATGGGAATAATGATTATGTTTTGGTCATATTCTCAAAATTTTCCATTTAACAAAAAATTCAAAATATCTAAACTTTAATCATATATTTTGAACTTTTACCGTTACATTTTTCAAAAAGCCTATTATTATATTTAAAAAACAATACTATCATCTTTTATTTATTATAAATCAATTTTTTTTGTTTCATTTTAAGCTTTATGAAGATAATGGCGATTTTTTCATACCATATTCATTACAAGGATGTTCTAGTTGAGTGACTAAGCTTTCATCTACTACTAGAGCAAAATGAATCCTACAATCCAGATGCATCCATTGAGCCGGTACTAAATAACAACACTCTTCACTCCACAAAGTTTATAGCTTGGATGAGAGCAAATCAAATTTATGAGGAGGTTAGGGAGTTAACAACACTCTTCACTCCACAAAGTTTATAGCTTGGATGAGAGCAAATCAAATTTATGAGGAGGTTAGGGAGTTGACATACGTTGAGTTTCCATCTAAGTTCACATGGAATAAATTGAAAAAAGGAGTAGTCGCCATGGAAAAAAGAATCCGCCATTGGGCGTGTGTTCTTTGTTCGTCTTGCACCAGGTGAGAGATACTACTTAAGAGTTCAATTGAATGTGATGAAGGGGGCAAGAAGTTATGAAGAGTTGTGAACCGTGTGATGGAAAGATATATGACACTTTTATGTATGCCTCTATGCTCGTGGGCTACAAGGGAATGAAAAGGAGTATATAGATGACATTAAAAAGTCAAGCCAATCATCAATGGCGTGATGGGTGCATCATTTATTTGTCACTCTTTTCCTATAGAGATCGGTGACTATGCATGAGTCGGTGTGGGTGGAAATGTTGTGAGTATTTATCAGAAGACGTATTATACAACATTAAGATGAACCTTCATGGTTAAAATATATTTTTGTAATTCATATTCTTTGAATTACATTACATTGAATACATGTGTCACCTTTTATAAAGAGTTGGAAATGGATAAAGGAGAAATCGAGAAGTACTGCTTAGTGGAGATTGAGAAACTTCTCTTACATTTCTTCTATGGAAGACATTCTCATTCATGAAGAATTGAAGTACGACAAATGTGATATAGCAGAAGAACTTCAAAAGTTGTTCAATGAAATGACAGATGAACAATGAGCTATTTACGAAATAATCATGGAATCTGTCGATCACAAAAGTGGCAGTGTGTTTTTCTTATATTGACCTGGTGGCATGGGAAAAAACATTTGTGGAGCACTTTGTCTACGACAATAAGATCACGAGGAGAAATAGTATTAAATGTGAAATCCAACGGTATTGCATCACTCCTTCCTGGAGGAAGGACCACATACTTGAGGTTTGTTATTCCACTTATTGTGACCGAGGACTCAATGTGCGATATAAAACATGGTAGTCTGTTGACTAGGCTACTTGAGCAGATAAGACTAATTATTTGGGACGAGTCTCCAATGGAACACACTATGAGAGATGTCCTTCGGTATTCGCCGGAGTGTGATGCTGCTATGCCTTTCGGTGAAAAAACTATAGTATTTGGTGGGGACTTTTGACATATATTGCTAGTCATTTTAAAAGGCATGAGACAAGATATTGTGTAAGCATCTTAAAATTCATCGTATTTGTGGTCATATTGTAGGGTGTTGAAACCGATAATGAACATGAGACTTGTATATGTACGTGACTGAATCATCTAGCGTGGCTGACATAGAGCGCTTTGCAAATTTGATTTTGAAGACAGGTTATGGTATTTTGGGAGACAATGAGGATGGAGAATCAAAAGTCCGCATATCTGCTGAATTCCTTGCTTCGATGACATATCGATCCAATTGAGTTTATTGTTAATAGTGCGGATGAAGTATATTCCCATATACCCCAGGGGTATCACAATCACTGGTCAAAGATCACAAAGACATCACCAAATGACTAGATACCAGAGTTCCGTTCGAGTCCGACCTCAACCCCCGAGGTCGGGGAAAACGACCTCGAGCGCCCCGACCTCGAGGTCGGGAAAGTCCGAGCTCGGGAATCAAACAGATATGTCAGAATATGAGCCCGACCTCCCCCCCCCCCCCGAGGTCGGGGGTCGGTCACAACACCGACCTTGGACGCCAAAGCATGGTTGATCAAGTACAAGCTAGATTTGTCCTCCAGGGACTCAGAACTGCTCCCCAGACTGAGCTCGAACATCCAAGGTCTGACCTCCAGAGGTTCGAGCTTTTCCGGACTGCATATAAACTTAGATGTCTCTGAATTGGGGTGCCAAACAGGCCTCGACCCCGTGGGAGTGACCTCAGGGGAGAAGCCATCTTTCCCGAGCTTAACCTCTAGGAGCTCGGAGTCTTATCCACCAGCTTTGGGCTTGAACTTTTTCACCAACATGGCACATTGCCACGTCAAAGGGAACCACGTCATCAACACTCAAGATAGAAGCCAGGGACCAAGCACTGAGCTCCAGGAGCTCGGGGTCTCCCCATCGGTTCATGGACTTGGCCGTTTTTCATCATCAGAGCATCACCCAAGCTGTTGCCACATCACCTCCGCTCCAAAAGGCCACGTCATCTCTACGGATAAAGCAAAGAATAATCTAGAACACGCATGCACATCACCAGCATTAGATCCGTATGAACCAGCTAATAGAATTGGTTATCTCTCCAATCACACTTTACACGTGTCACCTTCCTATTACACTAGTTGTTATTTCTGTCACATGAAGGGGACACTTGTCCTCTTCACACTAATTTGGCATCTTTTTACTTGGGCACCAAATATTGTTTTTTAGTATAAATATCACCCTCCAGCATGTGGAAGGGGATCCGATTTTGAACTCTCTGACTGTTACTCTGGAAAATTTTCCACTCAGTCTGACTTTAAATTCTTTCTGATCTTCTTCTCCATTACTTTCCCGGATTTCGGCTACCCCTAAGGTCAGTAAACCATCAAGTATGTATCCAGATTTCTTGACTCATAGGAACAACATTTTGTATCTGAGCTCTAGGGCCATTCTTGCCCCTACGATTGTTGAACAAGACAAGATCAATGATTACATGTTGGAGCTTATTCCAGGCGAGGAAAGGACATACTTAAGCCGCGATTCAGCATCTCCCTCTAACTCAGATAGTGAGCTCCTTCAACACATACATTCTATGGAATTTCTAAATTAGAATCAAATGTTCTAGTGTGCCAAGTCATGAACTAAAGCCTAATGTGGGTGTGCATATGATGCTTATGAGAAACATAGATCGCATTATTGGGTTATGCAATGGTACGAGACTCATGGTAACTTAACTAGGGACTCATATTATTGAGACTTAGATGATGTCAGGATCAAATGATGATGAAAAGTATCTGATTCCCCGAGTAAGTTTAATGCCTACGGACTTAAAGCTCCCTTTCACGTTTTGACACGGACAATTTCCTCTTATGATTGGTTATGTGATGAAAATTATCACGGCGTCCAATTTTTACTTACAGACAATTGTACGTTCTCTTATCAAGATTGAAATTAGTCACATGTGACAATGACGGCCAACCAAACAATACTGTTCAACGTGTTAACTACAAAGAAGTATATATCAATTTATAGTTTTTTCCATATGTAATTTCTTAGATGTTAAATTCTAGGAATATTTAGGTGTATATACAACTTTAAATAGGTGTAGTTAAAATTATGTCATATATTTCTATAAATAAAACAAATAGCATAACTAACTTTTTTGAAAGGACAAAAACAAATGCTTACGTATGCTAACTATAATTATGCGGCCACATATTAACTATAAAAGTGTTATGTACTTAAAAAATCAC